GTAAAATCGGGTTTTTTGAAGAGGTTGCATTGGAACTTGAGGGGAGGGACCTGAACATAATTTTTTCAAAAAAAAAAAAAAAGAGCTGCAACACATTGTTGAAAGGGTTTTTTGAAGAGGTTGCATTGGAACTTGAGGGGAGGGACCTGAACATAATTTTTTCAAAAAAAAAAAAAAAAAGCAGAGTAAAATCGGGTTTTTTGAAGAGGTTGCATTGGAACTTGAGGGGAGGGACCTGAACATAATTTTTTCAAAAAAAAAAAAAAAGAGCTGCAACACATTGTTGAAAGTTGGAAGGAGCTAGGGCACATTGAAAATTAGATTTTAGGGCCTAGAAGCAATTTACCCTTTATATAATTTCGGTGATTTCCATCTTCAGTATTCAACTCGCCATGGGATGATATCAGTATGATGGGACTTTGTGACTATATTCTATTATCACCCTAATGACTCCTGTGCGAAGATCAAAGATGAGCTCCTAACATTTGCATGATGAACGGTTGCTCGCTCTCATATCTTTGATGTAGGTCAGGATTCATAATGCGCAAAGATCTGTTAAGGATTACTTTATGGTGCTAATCCTTACTAAATGACAATGCATCCTATGAAATTATTATTGGGAAACATGTGGTCCTGATGAAAGGATGTTTTCGGTGTTGCCGAAAGCAAAGGGATTGATAATTGATGTAGCTAGGTTGCATGTAAATATATAGATCATGCGCTAACTAGGGCACCAACTTAGAATCTAATAGCATCACATTCATTTTGGTAGGGGAACAGAATGATTTTGGTTCGACACCTTGAAGTGGGCTTTTGCAGTTTAAAGGGATTGAGAGCGATTGATTGGTGGCGGTGTCAACCTCTTGTCTCTTTTGTAATAATTTCCCTCAAAAATGTGAGTTTCTCTCTGAGCGGGAGAGTTTGTTTTGGAATACATAAATTATCGAACAAACAGTAACGAATCAATGACAAAAGAGCAGGGGTGCAGTCAGTTCGGATACGGCTCAAATATGATGCTTATCGTATTCATATACGCTTACCTATCTCAGATACAGATACGGATACAGATATACCTCTGTAAGGAAAATTCATAACCATATCCGCTAAAATCTGATACGATTACGGATGAATAAGCGGATATGCACGCGGATACAAAACGGATATGAGAGAACTAAAAAGTATTGAGAAAAACCTAGTTCATGTGATACAAAAGAGTTCGTTAATATGTTCATTGTAATAAAAAGTTAAGATTAGACATCTTAATCATCAAAATTAATCACAAATTCATAATCTAAGAATCGAAACTATCGTAAGAGTATGACTAATATGTATTCGGATATTTCGGATACGAATACGGATATTTCACTACAAAGCCATATATGTAACCATATCCTATCGGTTATAGATTTGAGTAACCATATATGTATCCCAACGGATACGGTTACGGATATTTTCTCGGATACAGATACGGTTTAGCACCCCTACAAAAGAGTAATAAGCGCAAACAATGCAAGAAGAATTGCAATTGTGCCAACTTGGAAATTGATGCTAAAAATGTGTAAATCTTCTACTTTCTCCCCCTCGCGATTTTGGGCACTCTCATATTTTTCCTTCTTCTGTTTCCATCCAACCCGACAATTTGTTGGACTAAAATAAATCGAAATCTTAATTTAAACCCAGGTCAGCTAGAGGTGATGGATCTTTTACAATCTTAAACATTGTTGAGACTATTAACATGTAGATGTAGTTCTACGTTAAATAGGATAATAGAGAGTGACGATTTTAAAATAGGAGTTCGGGTTAATACCTAGTGACTATAACTTTTACGTTAAAACCGGTTTCTAACCTCTCTTTAAGGCCCATTAACTCTTGGTTGGACACGAAGGCTCCCCACAAACCTGAATCAGAATATATAATTACTTTAAAATCAAGTTAAGACTTGATCGATTGCTCGCGGCCGAACTTTTTGGTCTAGTTTTCGCACAGGGTTTAGTCCAAATTGAAGCGCACTATTATACTTCCGGCCCGTTAGAGTGGTTGAGCCCAACTAGGATCATGTATTGTTTAACAAGTTCTCTTGGACTTTATTTTTATGGCCCACATCTCATTTGGGTCAGGTTTACGCCGACAAAACTTAGTGGCTGTTCTTTTAGATATTAATCCGCAAATGTTTCGTTTTTTGTAATTGGTGCCCAATCTTCGTATTTTGAATTAGTCCAGTGTTTTAAAATTAGTCCATCTAAATTAGCCCAACCCTTCAAATTATTAACCACAGCTTGCTTTGATTAACTAGGTAATAATTTCCAGATTAAATTAGATTCGATTTTCCTTATTATCCAAATTGGCTCTTTTCTTTACTTCTTTCTTCTTCTTCTTCTTCAAGATTATACGAGGGGAAATCAATACAATTGGGTACAGTTTGGCAAAGGGTTAAGTGAGGGGTTAAGGAGACTTAACCCCTTCTTAACCCGTAAAACAAAAAAAATCTATACAGGGGTTAAAATGAGTTAACCTTTTTATAATTTGTCAAACATAAAAAATATAGAAGGGTTTTAAGCTAACCCCTCTATAGGGATTAAAATGAGTTAACCCCTCAAAATGAGGGGTTTATTAGTACTCCTATTTAGAATGATTAAGAGTTAATCATTCTAATTATAAAGAAAATAGTCAAAATCATTGTTATTCCGAAACACTAAAACTGGTCACAAGGGCTAAAATAAAACTTATTTAACAGGTTAATAATTTAGTCATTCGGATTATCGAATGGGTTAAGTACATCAATCCTATTAGCATCTGAATGCTAATCAAAGCTTATACCTATTACCCAGGAAAACTCGTTGGAAAATAGTACAGCTAATCAAAGCTTATACCTATTAGCATCTGAATGCTGGGCCCATCACGCGGACTAAATTAATTAAGCCTAAATCAACCTAATGAAGATTAGGTCAAACTTTTGGCTATTTTATCTAATTAGACGAGAACGATGGATCGCCAAATCGGGAAAACAAAATCATATGAAGGCCCTGAGCAGAAAATCATATGACTGAAGTTGACCCCCAATGACCCCGTTAATTTCTTTACACTTATTTTATCACTGAGCCGTCTTCTTGTTTCATTTGTTTATATTAGTTTGTATTGATTTCATGTTGTTTATATTAGTTTCTTATTTTATTTTATATCAGTGTTTAATATTTGTAGTGATTCAGTATAACATTTTAACTGATTTATACTTATCATTTATATTTTTTAGAGTGGTATATATATTGTTGTCCATTGCGGGTGACAATAATGGTTGATGGTTGTCAGATTCCAACTTAGTTTATGTTTTTTTACCTCTTCCAAATTAAAAGCAACTAGTGTGAACACCTTGCAAAGTACGCTATTTTTTTTTGTCCCAGTAATTCTAGTTTTAACTATTACAATATTTTTAGTTTTTTTGAATTGTTAGTGTATCCCTCTTCTGCTACAGTTCTGTGTGCTACAGTAATATTTTTAAAAAAACACGGTTCCCTGCTCATGTTGCTACAGTATAATGTTATATTGATTGTTACTATAACATGACTGTAGTATGAATAATGAATCCTGGGTACTCTCATCAGGAGTAGATGATAATTGACCCACTTACCCAACCCCATTTTCGTAATTTGCCCCTCCCCCCAAATCCTATTTCTTCACTCCCTCACTCCGCTCAAAATTCACAAAAATACCACCAGAACCCAAAAAAAAAGAAAAATGTCGATCGCCATCATCGTCTCTCTCGTCCTCGCCCTAATCACCGCCGCCTCCGGCACCGACCACATCGTCGGCGGCCACCTCGGATGGAACCCCAACATCAACTACTCTCTCTGGTCCAACAACCAAACCTTCCTCGCCAACGATTTCATCTGTGAGTCCACCAACAATCCAAAACCCTAACCCTAGGTAATAATGATAATAAAACCCTAACCCTAACCCTCTCTCTCTCTCTCAATTCCCTCAGCCTTCAGGTACATCAAGAACCAGTACAACGTCTTCGAGGTGAACGAGACCGGCTACGACAACTGCACCATGGACGGCCTCGCCGGCAACTGGACCTCCGGCAAGGACTTCATCCTCCTCACCAAACCCAAGAAATATTATTTCATTTGCGGCAACGGTTACTGTCAGAGCGGGATGAAGGTCGCCGTCACCGTCCATCCCCTGCCGGCCA